TATGTTTGTTATTTAGTTATACATTTAATACTTTTTATTTCTTCAAATCAACTAATACAAAAGGATATAAAGTAAAATTTTCCTGTCATGCTATCTTCTAATTTTCTTAGAGATGAGCATGGTCAGCAGTGTGTATGTCCTTTGATACTTCTTTAGGGCATATATGAACATATGTACACAGATGGCAAGTTTCTTAATTTTTGTTTTTATTAAGGAGGCTCCTGCTAGATGTGTTTATATTACATGTTGCTTGCTTAATGCAGTATGTGGAGAATATCTCCCTGTATCAGCATGTGCAGATCTACCCCCTGCTTTTAAATGACTGCATGGTATTACCCAGAGTGACTACACACCGTAACTTATTGCCTTGTAATGACAAAATGTCAGCCTGTTATCGTTTTGTCTATGTGGTTAAGAATTCTGCCATATACAATGCCACAAGAGTGAAAATGCATGCTTTTTAATGTTGTCTCTGAATTCTAGTTGAACATAAGCTACCTCCACCAGAAAATGTAAAATTTCGTGCTCAGAATCAGAGCTATGTTCTGAAATGGGATTATGAAGACATAAATGTGACCTTTCGAGCTCAGTGGCTCCAGTAAGTGCTTTTTGTTCATCTGTCGTCCGCGGTATTTTAATTATGCCTTCACACTAGTCAGCCGCATGCAACTCCTTGCAGATAGTCACTGCTTGAGAGACAGGTGTGACACTTTGGAAACCTGAGAAACCTTGCACAGGGGCACAGCATTATGTAGTATTTCCACCACATGGATGCCACTGACATGAATAGCTTTAAGAACATAGAGATGATGAGGAATAGTACAATAGCTAAGACAGGATGGGTTCAAAATATTTACTGTCCTTTAATACAATTTTTATTTATAAGTTTTTATAATTAAGTTTTTATCACAATGTATCTAAAAACTAGCTTGTAATACTCCTGAAAATGTAATAGTTGTTTTTGCACATTGGTGTGAGGTCCCTCTAGTACGACTACTAGATGTATGTGTCCCCTCTGCTGTATGGTGAGTTTCCTGCAAGCAAGGGAACTGTTCCTGTGATTTTAGCCTCTAACAGAATGTCTGTCTTCTTGTAAATACTCAACATGTAGTTACTGAATTAATGTTTGCTTACTTGTTTGTTTATTTAATTTTCTTAAAAGTGCCTTTTCAAAAGTGAGTCCTGGGGACAATTCAAATAAATGGAAACAAATACCTAACTGTGAAAATGTCAGAACTACATATTGTATATTTCCTCAAAATGTTTTCCAAAAAGAAAAATACTTTTTCCGCATACAAGCATATGATGGAAACAACACATCTTTTTGGTCTGAAGAGAAAGCAATTAATACTGAAATGTACTGTAAGTCAATAGATTTTTTACTTGAGATTATAATTCTCTTATTTGTTGCAAGATTTGTAAATTGCACAATCTCTAATCAGATATTATGTCTAATTGCACACTATGCCTTTACATATTGTTTCTAGCTACCATACCTCCTCCAGTCATTTCCATGAAATCCACTAGTAATTCGCTGCGTGTGTTTGTCAAAATGCCCAGGAACCAGTTTTACCCATTCATTTATGAAATTATTTTGTGGGAAAACACTTCAAGTACTAAGGTAAGAAAACAGCATAGTATAATTTTACATCTTAGAGTTATAGCTCTGAGTTGGGTAAATGAAACTTGACTTTACATTTTGGGGTGAATGTGTAAAATTTAAGACTGTGTGGTGAACCATGCAGCTGTTTGCAATATGAAGGTCACAGGCATTTTTCTATGTTCTGCATGGTCAGGATTAGAATGCCCTGCATCTGGAGCTCATTGTGCTTTTAAAATGCAGGTCCTGAGCCCAGAGTTTCTGAATCAAACCATTTTTAATATGATTCCTAGTGCTTGCCTATACCAGTGTTTCTCAAGCCCGGCGCAGAGTCCACTGCGCTAGGTCACCGCCTATACCAGTGTTTCTCTACCCATTATTTTACCCAATAAAGTACCCTGGGGCAGGGTAATTTCTTTTCCTTTTAAATTGGTACTGTTTGCATGACATAATGATTGCACTCATTGTGGGGAATTGTTATATGTGCATGACACTCCTTAATTGTTTTTCCATCTGCTTCCTCTCTTCCCTTCCACCTCCTTGTATCTCCTGGTCCTCTTCCCTTTTACAAAAGTTATATCTCCCTATTTCTTATTATGTATCTTTTCTTTTGCTCTTCAATTTATTTATAATTTGGGATTTTCATAGTAGAAAAACATATGTTTGTAGGATGCTTAGCAACATCTGTGGTTTCTACCTGCCAGAGGCCAGTAGCACTCCCTTCCTGGTGAGACAGCCAAAAACATCACCAGACACTGCCAAATGTCCCACCTCCAAGGGGACAAGATAGATTTTTTTTTCATCTATGTATTTGGTACAGTGTCTCACTATATAGCCCAGACTCATAATGATCCTCCTGTTCTCAGCCTCCCAAGTGCTGGGATTACAGGCATGCACCACCATGCCCAGACTCAGTCACCTGCCTCAGCATGCCCTGGGGGTGGGGCCAGCACAGCATGTTGGACTGGGGATCAAACCCTGGTCCCTGTGCTTGCCAAAGCAGGCGCTTAATCTGCTGAGCTATTTTTGCCAGCCATATTCATTTTTTTAAATAAAATTTTATTTTATTTTAAAGACAAAAACAGCAAAACAAAGGTAGAAACAAAGTGACATACAGTAATACACATGGTACAGAATTTCAAAACAAGAATAGAAAATTAACAATGATTGTTATATTGCTTATTTTTATCATCAAATCTGTTGCTTAGATTAACAGATATATTTAACCAGCAAGACTGGTCAAATAATTAAACATTTCTTGTCCTTTTTTGCTTCTTTTTTAAAATTTATTTGTTCTTTTTTTTAAAATTTTATTTATTTATTTATTTATTTGTGTGTGTATGTGTGTGTATGTGGCCAACTCAGCCCAGCAGGGGGCGGGACTGGCTGGCATGTGGTGCTGGGGGATTGAACCACAGTCCCTGTGCTTTGCTAAGCTTGTTCTAAGTAGGTGCTTTAGACCACTGAGCCATCTCACCAGCCCCCTTAAAATTTAGTTGAAAGATTATAATAGTAATTGATAAGACATTAGGAATGGTACACATTAAGAAGAACAAAATGAGAGGTATTCAACCATGGTTTTTGTATTGCACATTGCTCTTCAATGTAACTGTCCATATTGAAGACTAAACCTATTGGTATATAGAGTTAGTCAGTGTGAAAATTTTAAACATTACTACTTTCTAAAAACTGATAGAAATTAGTACTACAAGCATCTAAGCTGTCCTGTATATATAGTTGTATGATTTTCCCCCTTTTTTTCCTGTTTTCTCCTTTCCCTCATCTTCACTGTTTATTCTTTATGTTCAGTTTCTTTCCATTTTACCATATCTATTATGCCTTTCAGATTTTATTTATTCTTTCAGGTCCTTACACTAGAGAGGCAATACAATATTTACACTTGTGGGTCTGATTTGTTTCACTTATGAGTATAGCCTCTAGTTAAAGATTGTTTTTTGGGGTAAAAGAATTTCAGGTATCACAATGGTTTGTGGCCCTCAAAGAAGAAATCATGTCTCCAAAGTTTCTCCTTAATATTTAATTTCATGGTAGTCGAGAAATTAGAAAAAAAAATTATCTAAGAAGTGTCTTTGAGGGGTAGTAAAGAAAAAGAGGCTGAGAAACACTGGCCTAAACACTAAAATTCAAAAACCACAGTTAGACCTGATAGACCACATCACATAACCACATTGATTCCTTATAGAATTATAATCAAGAAATAAACCTTAAAAATCTTGTGTGCTTAAGTTGATACTCCTGTAATTTCATTTACTGTTGGAAATTGAAAGCAAATTCCCATGTCTAGACTGCTTCCATTCAGCTGTGTGGCTGTACTGTCACATAGCCTAACTTAGCCCATTAAGATTAGTTTTCAGCTGTCTTGAGATCAAACAAACCTGAAATTGTGTCTCATGCTAACAAAGTATATGACTCATCTGAGGCAAGACACCTTACCTCTTTGACAATCTGTTTCCTCTTCTCTAAAGTGATGGTAATTATAGCAACTGAAACATCCCTCTTTTAAAAAAGATGTTCATTAGGCTTGAAGAAGAGTCACATGAGAATAGCTAGCACATTGCTTTGACCAATAGTATGATTGAGTACATTTTAGTTTCCATCTTACCCTATCATGTTTTTTATAGAAATCACGTAGGTGCTCACCCGCCTAGCCCTCCCAGATGATATGCTCAATGAAATTGTCATTCACGGGATACATGGGGTACAGTGCTCACCCCACTCACTGACGTGGGGCTGTAGAGGATGGATCCCAAGTGGATGTGCTGTGGGCAGAGGCAGCGTGGCTCGGCTCTGTGCTTGTCCTGTGCTCTAGGGGGAAGCACATCCATCCAGTCACTGGCCCAAGGAGGCTGAGAACCTGGAGCAGCAGAAGCCTGGCCCACAGCCTCATGAGCTCCTCCAGCCAGTCCCTAAACTTGTGAGTGAGAAAATGATATATTTCAAGCCACTAAAAGTTGGGGTTGGGACCGGGGAGATGGCTCAGTAGAATAAGTGCTTGCCTGGCAAGCACAAGGGCCTGAGTTCAATCCCCAGTTCTGAAAAAAAAAAAAGTTGGAGTAGTTTCATTATATGACATTAATATGCCAACTGCTGGCCAGTACAGAGAGGAGTAATAATTGTCCTCATGGTACAGATCAGGGAATGAGGCATCAGGTAATTTAGTAACTTTCAGCAAGCCACACAGCCGTGACATTTTCATATAAGCAGTAAGAGATTGAAACCCTGCTCTCCATCATTCTGTCACAATAGCAGTGAAGCCAAACCAGCATGTGCTCCTTACTTAGATTAGAGCTGTCCTAGGGATATGTCATTTAGCAGGAACGTCTTTAACTTTCTTATTTATGAAGATGAATTGTTCAAAATGAACTTATATTTCCTAACTGCATACTAGCTGCCTGGAAGAGCCCAGCCTTAAATTGAATGTAAAAGAATTCAGAAAATAGATATCCACTCTCTGATTTCATATGTGACTAAATTTTATCATTTAATTATTTTATAGAGAAAAATAGTAAGAGAAAAATCTGATATTACTATCTCTGACATGCAACCACTGATGCTATATTGCGTCAAAGCCAGAGTGCACCTTCTGCAGGACAAGTGGAACAAAACCAGTGCTTTCAGTGCTGTGGTGTGTGAGAAAACAAAGCCAGGTGAGGCTTTCATACTAGAGCTTTTACAAAATGTGACAAGACTCAAGAAAAAATTGAGAATTGGAGGATACTGCCTCCTCACTACAAAAGCTGCAATATTATCTTCATGAACTATATGAATCAAAAATAAACTTTCTGCCAAAAAAAAATACAGTAAAACTTCAAGCTAATTGCTTCAATTTCACAAATTATTTGTCTGTTTGCTCTTTGGAGGGTTTTTGTTTGCTTGGGGGGTTGGGTTTGGTTTTTTGAGACAGGGTCACACTGTGTAGCCCTGCTGGCCTTGAATTCACAGCAGTTGTCCAGCTTCAGCCTCCAAAGTCCTGGGATTACAAATAGAGGCTACCACACACACTTCAAAGTAATTATTAATGCTTTGTATTTCTTTTTCATTAATGCTTTAAATTTTGTCTGGGATCCACGTTAATTTTCTTTAATGATTCCTCTTTATCATGTAAAACATTCATTTTAATTTTTGCATAATCTTTAATCATACTGGAAATGAAGTAGTTCTATTGGAACTTTTTTTCATGAGTGAGTGGTTTAGTCTCATCTTGTATTTTAAAGCTCCTGGAGCTGACCAGAAGAGCCTCACTCGCATGACTATTTTCAAAAGTTTGCTAGTTGAATGTAGTAGAGTATTCACTGGAGAATACTCACCTATTAGGCTTTATATATCTGTTCTGTATGCTTCCCTTTGGATCTTTTAGTTCAGTGCCCAGATTGTACTCAAGTGCCCACAGTTGCCTACTTAGTGTTAAGAAATACTTTTAAGGGTGTTAGTTAATACATTTATGTTTCCTTTCATACAACTAGTCTTACATTCATACAGTTGTGTGTCAAAACATGTGCTAATGTAATCTTTGTCTTTTTAGGGACTTCTTCTACCATGTGGGTAACACTTGGAATTTGTGTCCTACTAGTAATAATAGTAATCATTTGTGTTAAAAGATGTCTCAGCTATGTGTTTTTTCCGGCACTTAAAACTCCTGGCAGTATTGAGGTTTGTCACTTTTTCTCTACCTAAAGCTAGAAAATAAGTTTAATTTCAGCACTATATAGCTTTTCTTGATACACAGAAAATAATGCAGATGGATTGGATGTTTTCCTTAGTTTTCATAAATTCACTTTAAAAACAGTCATTTAATAGAGCATGGAACAGTAATGTTTGTTTTAAATAGCCTCTTTTTCTGGCAGTTTGGCTACTGTGGCATTTGTTTTACATTTGATGTTTTTGTGATTCTTTTTTTTTCCATAATTTTATTGAGAAACAAATATCAATGAGACAGTTTCAAACCAAAATGGTAGGACAGTTTCA